GTTAGTTAGTTAGTTAGTTAGTTAGTTAGTTAGTTAGTTAGTTAGTTAGTTAGTTGATTAGTTAGTTAGGCTGGCTAGTTTTTCAAGACAGCATTTCTCTGTGTAGCATTGGTGGTCCTGTACTTGCTTTGTAGACCATGCTGGCCTCAAACTCACAGTGATCCACCTGCCTCTGCCCACTGAGTGCTGGAATTAAAGGCATGCACCACTATACCCAGCTGAAATTTATGTGACATGTACGGAAAAATTATTATAAATCTGGCTCTTAAAGGATTATTTTATGGGGGTATTTCACAAATACATACATCAAACTTTTTCTATAGGGATAATTTTAATTGAAAATTTTTGTTTTCATATAATATATTCTAAATAAACTTTCCCATCTCCCAACATCTCCTGATCCATCTCACAACCCTTACTCATGCAATCCTACACCCTTTCCTTCCCTCTCTCTTTAATAAAGAAATAAAAACCCTGCAAATAAACAGAAAAAGAAACTCAAACATATACAAGAATGCAAAATCAGAAACCAAACTATACTATAAAGGATCAATAAGAAAAATAAGTGCCCAAACAAAGATATATGTGACAAAATTCTACTAGGTTGTTGCTGTTATGTTTGTTTGTTGTTTGTTTGTTGTATTGCCCCTCTGTGAGCTGCTACAATCTCTGTGAGTTCATATGTGCATCAGTCCTGTTGTGTCTGAAGGGTACTTTTTCCTTGGAGACATCCATTCCCTCTGGGTCTAGCAATCTTTCCACTCCGTCTTCTTCATAGAACCATGAGCCCTGAGTGGAGGAGTATAATGAAGATGTACCATTTAACACTGAGTGGTCCAATACCTCTAACTCTGTTCACTGACCAGTGATAGGTCTCTGTTTTAGTTCCCATATGCTTCAAAAAGATGATGGCTGAGGGAGGCACTGCTCTATGGCTATAGATATATGTACATAGTGATACATCATTAAAAATCAATTGATTGCTATGTTCCGTGGCAGAAAATAGTAACTTGTTTTCCCCTTTGCCCATGACTTATCCACCTCAGGTTTTGGACCACTGGAGCAGCGTCACTCATGGATTCCATCCCATTGATTCTGTTTGTTAACCAATCTGTTGGTCTCTGCCTCTTGATTGGGTAACTGAGACCATTAATATTGATAGTTATCAATGAGATGTGATTGCTGATGCCTATTATTTGTCCTTATGGTGTGGGGCTTTCGCCTCCATGCAACTAATTGTACTAAGATTATTTCCCCTGGCATGTTCTTAGGTATAGTTAACATCTTCAGGCTATTGTCTTCTCTATTGCTGGATTGGTAGATAGAAATTGATCAAATTAATTTTATTTTGGAATGTATCTCTTTAAAAGTAGATAAGAAATGAAGTTTTTTTAAACTCTTTTTTGTTTGATTTAAACACTAACACAGATACTGAGTTATAATTGTTCTGTTTTCCGTTGGGGTTGGGGTGAGCTCTTTTTGTAGAATAAAATACTTAAAATTCTTAGAAAAATGCAAAATATTTCCATTTTGCATGAATTTTTTTAAATAATGATTTGAATGAATCATAAAGAATGAAAAGAAAGGACAGTCTTTTTTGCTAACACATAATGCTATATTTTTCAAGGCCCAAGTCCATGCATTATGGAAGCACACACTTGAATAGATTGCCATACCCTAGAAGGAGTATACATCACTTATTTTTGAGCTTTTGCTTTTAAACTTTTTATTCATTGGTTCTTTGTGAATTTCATATCACACTTCCCAGTTCTGCTAATCTCCCACTCCCCTCATATCCACCCTTCATATTTGCAACCTCACCCAACAGAGAAAAACAAAACAAAACAAAGCTCTTGCTGTTGAAGTTGTAGTGTGTCACCGGGTGTCCCACAGTATACATCATGTCTCCGCATACCAAAGTTTAAGAGCAGTGCTGCACAGAATTCTAATTGTTAGACATACTTACATAGGATTAGGATCATGAAACAGCACCTTTCAATATCTTCCATCTGCACCATCATGCCATGCATCACTTATGGAGAAGAGCAATTCAGTTATGCTCACATGCTCCAGAAAGAGTTAAGATGCACGGTTTCCCAAGTGACCTTGGGTTTCTACCTTTAAGGAATAAAATATATTTGGTGGTAAGGAGCCCTTCACTCATTTTCTCGGAAAAGCAGTGTTTCATATCTATAGAGTCTGGCCAGGTGTTTCATGGTTACAAACTATAACAAGTAGAAAATCTTTTGACTTACCTCCTCACAGGTAGTTCTGAAATCCATGTGCTGTGGCACTGTGAAGGATGTGGTCTGCAAATATAGAAAGAAAAGGTTGTTACAAATGGGGATCAACACAGAACTTAAGCATAGCATAATAAAACAAAATACTGCTGAGGGAAAACAGTATAGACAGCCCATGAAAAGAAACAAAACAATAGTGAAAAGCAGACATCAAAAATAATGTTCATTTCAAGGTTTGGGAAAGTATCTAGGGTAATGGAGAATATCCCAGGTCTCTGCATTTGCCTTTGTATAGGCTGATTGTCCTTGTGACTGGCCTCTTTCCTCAAGTTCTTCCTCAATTGTATCATTTGCCTTGAAACCTGACTTTGTGAAAGGGAGAACTCAAAGTTTAATTAAATGTTGCCATTCATCTTGTTATCTCTTGAATGAGAAGTTAAATAATCTTACACATTTTAATTGAAAACCTACATGCATGAATAATTCTCTCTGTAATCTAAATTTTTATTCACAAACATTATGATACAATAAAGCAAGTTACTCATTGGTTTGCATAAAAATAAGACAGTTGAAAATAGACATAATCAACAAACATTTTTACTTAGAGGTCACTATATAACAAAACGATGAATATAGACTTAAATGCATATAATGTTTCAAAACGTTTATTGTAGCATGTTGTTCATAATATATCTTAAACATAAAAAGCCAAACATTATAAAAAAATGCATCTCTATAATGTAAAAAAAAAAAAGCAGTGTCCAGCTGCGCATAGTGTTTACATAAGGAAAAATTCAGAGAATAATATAGTCTTCAAAACAGGAGAATATGCTGCTCAATAATTACTCTGTCTTTGAAAGAGTAAAGCTCTGCCTCCTATGTCAGTTTGTTGCATGAGATCAAGGAATGCTTGGTCAATTAAGTGTAGAATAACAGCATGGGAAATGCCTTAACTGTCACTGATTGTTGGGACACACAGAATTGAAATTGGCCCCTTTCAGTAGAAACTGAATATTTCATGTAACACATAAAGAATGCAGAATAAGTTTTTGGGATTGTCAACCTGATTTTATTTTACTAAAGTGCATAAGATAATTAGTTGCCATACACTTACACAACAAATCATTAGCAGCGTTATGGTAAAAAGATAGAAAATTTCTGCAAAAGATAGAAAATTTGTGTTAATTTTAAAAACAGAAAGAGAATCATATAGATCTGACTTCAACCTATTACATACGTGTAAATGAAGAGAAGAAGAAAAGGAAGGGGTTTAAGAGGAGGAGGCAGAAAAGAGGAAGAGAAGAAGGAATAAGAGGAGGAGGAGAAGGAGGAGGAGAACAAGGACAAGGACAATGACAATCAAGTCCACAACAACAGCATTTCTTTCTAGCTTTGGGAAGGTGAAGATAGGCAAGGCAGATCTCTGCCATGCATTAGCAAGTCATTCTAGCCAAATCACTAAGATTTAATTTCAGACTGAGACCATGTCTCAAACAAAATAAGCTAAAGAACAATGGAAAACATAACATGGCTTGACCTCTAGTCTATACGCAAACATATACAGAAGTGCACCTGTGTAAACACACATATAAACACCCAACAAATAAATTAGTTAATTCATTAATTAATAGACACATCAAAATAAATGTCTTGCTGCTAGCAATTGACTATGAAAATACACATGAAGATACTAAGCGATAAGGTAAACTAAACCTTGTATTTGGATTCACATACTGAACGTAACTTTAGCATATGCATTTTAATGTGTTATTTCAAAACAATATTACATTTAAACAAAGGATCTACCAATTTGCCTTTACTATTTTATCACATCTTGCTTTTTATAGTACATGTTATTGTGTAAAACAAGTTTTAAAATTAAATATATATTGATCATATTCTCCCCCTTCCCCAAGTCCTGATGGATCCTCTCCCACTGACTACTTGTCCAAATTTAAGTTCATTCTCAAAAAACAAGCAAAAGCCAAATTAAAAAAAAAAAAAACACACTCATCCATTCTTCAGTTGAGGGGCATCTGAGCTGAGAGGATGAACATCAGAAGAAGAAGAAAACAGGAAACAATCTAGGAACCTGCCACAGAGGGCCTGTGAAAGGCTCTGCCCTGCAGACTATCAAAGCAGACACTGAGACTTATGGCCAACTGTTGGGCAGAGTGCATGGAATCTTATGTAAGAAGCGGGAAATAGTAAGATCTGGAGAGGACAGGAACCCCACAAGGAGAGCAACAGAACCAGAATATTTGAACACAGGGGTCTTCCCAGAGACTCATACTCCAACCAAGTACCATGCATGGAGATAACCTAGAACCCCTGCACAGATGTAGTCCATGGCAGTTTAGTGTTTAAGTGGGTTACATAGTAATGAGAAGAGGGACTGCCTCTGACATAATCTGATTGGCCTGTTCTTTGATCACCTCCCTCAGAGGGGGGAGCAGCCTTACCAGGCCACAGAAGATGACAATGCAGCCACTCCTGATATGATCTGATAGACTAAGATCAGAAGGAATGAGAGGAGGACCTCCCCGATCAATGGACTTGGGGAGGGGCATGCATGAAGAAGGAGGAGGGAGAGTGGGATTGGGTGGGGAGGTGGGTGGGGCTTATGGAGGAATACAAAGTGAATAAAGTGTAATTAATAAAAAATACAATATCAAAAAAAGACATGTATCTACAATAAACTGATTACGTTTAAAAAAAAAAACACTGAAAAAACAAGAAAACAAAACAAATCCAAACTCAATAAACACACACACACAAAGAAACAGAGGAGTCCATTACAGATTGATTAACTACTCCTGAACATGAGGACTGTCCTGGAGTAGTTGGCATTCTTATGTCACTATACTGGAGGAAATTGCTTTTCCCTTTCAAAGAAAGTACAACTTGAAGTTCAGTCATTAAATTTTGCTCTAGTGGCTAGGTATTCATTCATAGACAGATGATAGATTAGATAGACAGATAGTGGGATAGATAGATAAATGATAGATAGATAGATAGATAGATAGATAGATAGATAGATAGATAGATACATACATACATACATACATACATACATACATATATACATACACAAAAGATAGAAAAAACAATAACTTAAAAGTCTGGTAAGGCAAACCAACAGACGAAAAAGAGACAAAGAGAAGACAGAAAACAGAGACCCACATGTTTTCACACTCAAGAATCTCATAAAAGCACTAAACTGGAATCCATAATATATATGCAAAGGACCTGGTACACCACTGTAGATAAATATTTTGAAGCTAGCTTAGTGTTCACATTTCTCTTTTGGCAGCAGAAAGAATACCTTCTCATACTGAAGGTGCTGAAACAGGTGTGAATGCTCTGTTGAGGCACCACCTTGACAACCCCATGTTCCATACAGGTACTGTCTTCAGCAATGGGGCTTTGCTGTAAGTTTCTAGAGAGTAATCTATAGCCTTGACAATAGCCTCGGTTGCTTGGGGATTCTAATGGAGATCCACTGGTAAACATTTCAATGGTGTGTAACCAAATCCTGGAACTGGAAGCCTTTATTGGTGACAAAAGATGGCTAGTTGGGACTCCATTATTTGGCAGTTTCACTTAGATTACCTTCATATGTATATATTAAAGTTTTTACTGTATTAGATTCCCAAATCAACCCTCAAATGGGCATTAATTTTAGCTGTCTTTCCCCTTATTCCATCCCAAACCATGACTTCTCCTTCAACTTGATCCACTCATTTTAGCTCCCCATTGTATCCATACATATAATTTTTATTTTCCTTTCCTATGAGATCTACCTATACTCCTTAGGACAACATTCTAAACCTACCCTTTGTGTTCTGTGAATTATGGCTTGGTTGTCATAGTCTTAATAGCTAATACCCACATATAAGTGAATACATAACCATATTTGGTTTTGAGTCTGGAATACCTAATTCAAAATGATGTTTTCTAGTTCCATCCATTTGCCTGAAATTTTCAGGTCATTTTAAAATAACTGAACAATATTCCATTGAATAAATATAGCACATTTTCTTTATCCATTCTTCTCTTGAGGGACATTTAGATTTCTTTATGAACAGAGCAGCAATAAACATGGTTGAACAAATTTCTCTGAGATAGGATGAAGCATCCTTTGTGTAAATTCCTAATAGTAATATAGCTGAACATTGAGATAGATTAAGTCCCTTCTTCTTGAGAGACTACCACAGAGATTTTCATAAAACTTCACTAGCAATGTATCAGTGTTCCTCTTAGACTACATTCTATTCTGCATGAGCTGGGTTTTGTTTGGTTTTGTTGTTGTTGTTTGTTGTTGACTGTAAGCTTTCTGACAGGCATTATAAATATATACAAGTAGTTTCCATCTGTATTTCCCTAATAGCTAGGGATTTTTGTATACCTTTAAGTATTTATTAGCCTTTGATAATTCTTTATTTAAATCTGTACTCCATTTTTAAATTGGGTTATTTTTTTCTTTTTATGTAGATTCTTGAATACTTTATATATATTGGGTATTAGTCCTCTATCTGATTTGGAGTTGGTAAAAATCTTTGCTCATTCTGTAAGCTACTGCACTGTCCTAATGACAGTATACTTTGCTTTATAGAAGCTTTTCAGTTTCATGAAGTACCATTAATTAATTGTTCATCTTAGTGCCTGAGCTTATGGAGTTCTGTTCAGAAAGTTTTCTTCTGTGCCAATGAGTTCAAACTTATTCTTCACATTCTCTTTATCAGGTTCAGTGTAGATGTTTTTATGCTGATGCCTTTGATCCATTTGTACTTGAATTTTGTTTAGAGCAATAGGTTTGCTTCTATTTGTACTCTTCTACATGCAGACATGCAATTTGAACAGCACCATTTGTTGAAGATGCTGTCTTTATTCCATTGTATATTTTTGGCTTCTTCATAAAAAAAAAAACAGATGTCCATAGGTGCCTGGACTTATGTCTAGGATTTAATTCAATTCTATTGGACAGCATGTGTCAATGCTGTGTGTTTTTATCAACATAGCTTTGTAGTACAACATTAAATGGAATGTTGATAACTCAAGTAGGTATT